GAGGGTGGTGGGGGTTTATGGGGAGGGGGTGAAGGACTCTCTCTCTCTCTCTCTTGACATAAGAAATGGGATCTCCTTTCCTTCCCCAAGTATTAAAACCACTTCTCCGCCTCCTCCCTCCTCCTTCCCTCCTCCTCCTTTCCTCCCTCCTTCCCTCCCTCCCTCGCTCCCTTCCTCCCTCCCCCCCTCCCTCCCTCCCTCCCTCCCTCCCTCCCTCCACCCCCTTCCCGCTAAGAAATCTAAAGTCTTTGGGATTCAGATTCACAACGATGACGAATGACTCTTCATAATGACAAGTAATATATCAACTTTTGTCCTTTTTATGAAGTCCGTTATATAAGAATCCTCCATGTACCGGACTATATAAGCGAGGATAGTCCGTTTAAAGAGAGTCCACTATAATAACACCCTTATCTCATATAGTGGGTCAGATCTTTAGGTATTATAGGTCATATATGATGGTATTTTCTATAATCAAACTCAAACATTCCTATAATATTCCTATAATTATATTTTGTTATAGATTTCTCCCCATAAAGAACAGAAGCATCGTTTATTACCAGCTGTAGTTATGATAAAAATATATATATTATATTCTGACCTTCAATAACTCCAGGAGGTAAATAATTGAGTTGTTTTTAATAATTCCTAATACAATAAATAGAACAGTACCTTTAAATTCTAATAGTTAAAAAAAATACAAATGAGTTATAAATATATATTATCTCACTATACAAACAAAAGACCCGAAAACGATAATAAATTAATAACTCATAATTTAAACAAAGACTTAGATGTTTGTACTAAGTCTATGAGTATTTAATAAGATAATGATTTAAAGTAAAGGCGATATGAGTTAATTTTTGTAAGCATTATTTATCATATTTGTGAGTCTGTCTTCATTTTTCTTTTCTCCTCTCCTCCTTTCCTCTTCTTTCTTCTCCTTCCCTCCTCACCTACCCCCTCCTATCTTTTCTTCTTCTCTTTCCCTCACCTCCTCTCCCTACTATTCTATCCTACCCTCTCTTATCCTATTCTGTTCTTCCTTCATCCCCTCTTCTCTTCTTCTCTCATCTCCTCTCCTCTCTCTCTTCTCCTTTCATTCCATTGTTTACCTCTCCCTTTGCATCCCCATTGTTTATCCTCCCACGTGTAATTTCCCTGTTGTTTCCCCACACCTGTATTTAATGTTTTCCTCTCTTGTATTCTGTCAGCAACGTTTTATTGTTGGTGTCGACCGGAGTGTGTTCTTGAAATGCCCAAAACCGACTTCAATTATTGCCCCATTTTTTCCCCCCTCCTGCCATATTCGGTGTCCCCTGAATTTTTTTCCCCCTGTATATTTTGGTATTTTCCCCTGTATTCTTAGTTTTTTCCCTGTATTTTTAGTTTTTTCCCTGTATTTTTAGTCTTTTTCCTGTAATTTTGTAGTTTTTTCCCTGCATTTTCAAACCTTCCCCTGCATTGCCACACCTTTCCACACCTTCCCCTGCATTGTCACACCTTTCCCTGCATTGCCACACCTTTCCACACACCCCCCCCCTTGCATTTTCAACACATACGAATGACAATATCAGAAAAATTAATTCCCCTGTTGATTTTTCTCCCTATTCCTGCATCTATTACCAATTTTATTCCCTCCTCCTGATTTCCCTAAGGATCAGCTGCTTCAAGGGTATACACATGTCTCTCGAGTGTATGTAAATGAGTTAGAAAAGGTGTATAGGTGTGTGTGTGTGTGTGTGTGTGTGTGTGTGCGTGTGTGTGTGTGTGTGTGTGTGTGTGGAGTGTGTGTGTGTGTGTGGGTGTGTGTGTGGGTGTGTGTGTGTGTGTGTGTGGGTGTGTGTGTGTGTGTGTGTGTGGGTGTGTGTGTGTGTGGGTGTTGGAGTGAGATTGTTAATGGTAGTGGGAGAGGTAGTGGTGGTTGTAGTATTGTGGTGGTGGTGGTGGTGGTAGGTGAGATAGTGGTTGTGGTGGTGTTGGAAGTAATTGTGGTAATAGTCAGGAACAATACTTATATGTGGTGATTTCCAGGAGTATGGTGGTGATGGTGGTGATGGTGATTGTGACGGTGGTGATGGAGTGATGAGTGTAATGATGGCAGGGTGATAGTGGAGGCGTGATGGTGATAGTGGGGATAATGGTGGTGTAAGATGGTGGTGACAGTAAGGATTGTGGTAATTGAATTGCGACGGTAATAATGGTTGAAGTGGGATGGTCGTCCTGGTGGTGGTGGTGGTGGTGGTGGTGGCGGACTGGTGGTAGTGATCGTAGTAAGATGGTGGTGGTGGAGATATTAGTGGTGGTAGTAGTGGTAGTGGTGGTGCTGGTATTAGTGGTGGTGTGGTAGTAGTGGTGGTAGCGTTCGTAATGGTGGTAGTGATGGTGGTAGTAATGGTGGTGGTAGTAGTAGTAGTAGTAGTAGTAGTAGTAGTAGTAGTAATAGTGGTGGTGGTAGCGATGCTGGTAGTGGTGGACTTCCGTACACAAACAAGAAGCAAAATAAACAAACATAAATAAACAAGACCAAAAAATAAACAAACCCTCATAAACAAAAAAGCAAAATAAACAACCCCCCCATCACCCCATCACCCCCCCATCACCCCATCACCCCCCCCCCACCCACCCACCTTCCTTCACGCTGTTGGGTAAAGTGCATCTCTTTGTATTATACACAACTACAAAAATACGTGCTCTAACTTGCACATGAAAATCTACATAGCCACAACGAAAACTGATTCAGCTCATCAGAATACAACACACACGAGAAATTACGATTACAATTGAATACAAGAATGATGCAGTATTAACGACGATGCAAATAATATCATATAAATGGCCTGAGTGTCGTAAGTTACAGTACAATATATTACAAATCTTTATGATAAAATACAGAGCAACGCTTTAAAACTTACGTTATTAACCTGGTTTGTTTATTTTAATTAACAGTATTACAAAACAGCGTGGTGCAGTAAAAAACATTATATTTTAGTTCACAAAAGAGTACTACAGCCTCCCCAAAAAGTACAATGAAATTCAATTAAATACAATTCACTCCTGTATAATATATATGAATAAAATACAGTACATTACAACACAGTACCACAGAATATAGGAATTTATAAGCCACTGTACTCTGGGATATTCGACTGTATTTGGAATCGACAGCTTAATGACTGTACACAAGCTAACCCACATTTAATAAGTGACTGTAGATAATATACATCTTCCAGTCTATAACAGTCAAAATAAAATTATCCTTCTGAGTCTTTACCAATACCAGCACCAATGTATATATCCACTAAAGCCTCAAGTAATATCCTCAGCTTATTGAATTCCGGGAACCAATCCAATGGTACCCCCCCCCCCCGTCCTCCCCCACAAAAAAAATATCTTTACCATTTTGCGTAAGACAATATGACACAACGGGCGAAGAATTTTGACAACCCTACCGAGACAACAGGAGTCGTAGTGTTCATTGTGAGATTCATCGATCACCCTCTGTGAAGAAACTTTTTTTGGATGGGGTTGAATCTGATTCTTAACTCTAAAAAACACCCACAGAATTATTAATACGATCATTAAACCCATTAAAACTGCCCTGAACTATGAGTCATAACAGATATAAACCAAATATATGAACTGTGATTATATGATTCACTAATAAGAACAGAATCCCAGTGACAGAAACCAATTATAGGCTCAGTAATATTATATGAATTATGTTATTTTTTTCTGTTATAGTATACACGAGGCAGGACTTGTATCGTGATTTTTGGGGAGTTTTAATATTACCAGAGAGAGAACGTGAGCTGGTCTAACTCGTGGGGTACCAGCGGAAAAACTCTTGTTCATAACTTACTTAATACACTAAACGCATTTAATTCCAGGGATATACATTATTATATTAGTTGTTTTCAGTTGACTCAGTATAAATTATTCCTCCTTTAATTATCCAATGAAATATCACATAATTTATCATATATTATCACATAAATCATCACATATCATAAATTATTACATAAATTCTCATAAATTATCACATGACTTTTTTCATCATCTTTATTTTCAACTCTGATGTAATTTGCATAGATCTATCTAATAATCATTAATGTCAGTGTTATAACTCAACAGCTGTAAGATCTACAATGCTGGAACTTGTTACAGAGACCTAAACAACCCCTACCGCTGGTACGATTCCAGAACCGAGAGGTCAAAGGTCAGGGTCATAACTTAGAAAATTATAACACCCCTTGACTGATATATATACACTGAAAACATATATTACACCTCGTAATATATCTAGCTACATTAAGTCATGCTCTGTAATATTTCTTCATCAGAGTGAGTGAGTGAGTGTGTGTGTGTGTGTGTGTGTGTGTGTGTGTGTGTGTGTGTGTGTGTGTGTGTGTGTGTGTGTGTGTCATGTCTCCATGTGTTGTGGGATTACACACTTTTTGTACCATTATTAACCGACATATTACGCTGTTATTATCTCATAGTGAAAATAACTTACAACCGAGGAAAGAAAGGTATAAAGACATTGATAATTCCCTGATTTAATACACCTAGACATGAGTGTGTAAGTCGGGGATATACACAGACATGCATACAGACACGCAGACAGGTTAAAAGACACGCTGGTAAGGTAACACACACGCAAACAAATAAAAACAAGTAAACAATCACAAGGAAATAAGAAAAATTAAGGTTATAAGTAAACAAGTAAACAAACACATGTAGACAATTTAACTAACATACTGACGAAAACAAGTAACAAAAACATGACTAAAAGTAAACACACATGCAGACAATCAAATGAATACATACATACACTGATTGCTAAAATATAACATACATACAAACACAGAAACAACTACATAAACACACACACACAGTTACCTACACACACAGAAGAACAATTATACACACACACACACAGACCCCGATACACACACACATACACACACATACACACACGAAAAAAAGCCGATACTTACAGGTCACGTTGAGGAGTATGGAGTCAGTCAGAGGGTAGGCAGGGAAGAGATGGTTCAGCGAGGTACAGGTAAGTCGCTGACCATGATGACGTCTTGAAGCTGTCACCCTCACTCTCGATGTGCTCACGTTCACCCCATGTTCCGTCTGGCGAAGAGGAGAGTGGTTAGTGACGGTGGGAGGTTAATGATAATTGTTATTGTGTGTGGGTGAGGGAGAAAGGTGTGTGGGAGAAAGGTGTGTGGGAGAAAGGTGTGTGGGTGAGGGAGAAAGGTGTGTGGGAGAAAGGTCGTCACTCTCACCAACGTACGTGCTCACGATCACACGGTGGTCTGCCTGGCGAAGGTAAGACTGGTTAGTGAAGTGTGAGGGAGAGGGAGGGAGGAGGAGGGAGGGAGAGAGGAGAGGGAGGGAGGGAGAGGGAGGAGAGGAGAGGAGGAGGAGGAGAGGGAGGAGAGGGAGGGAGGGAGGAGGGAGGGCTCTTACTGCATGTCGAGGTGGCGCTTATATCACCCCCCACCAAGCCTCAGGCAGTGTGTGTGGGGGGTCAACAAATGAAAAAAGAAGAGTAACAAGGGAAAATGTGAATAATATAATAATTTGAGAGAGAGAGAGAGACGGAGGGAGGGGGAGAGGGAAAGACATAAGAGAGAAAGATAGAGACAGACATACAGACATAAACAGACAGACTGAGGCAGATAGACAATCAAACAGAGAGAAAGAGAGAGAGAGGTATCACACACACACACACACACACACACACACATTTGTAAGAGAGAATGGTGTGAAAATGACAAATAGTTTGGAAATAAAAGTGAGAATTCGCCAGCAGGAAACAATGTCACTATTGATGTTGATGTGGTGAAATTTACTGATGGCACATTGCGTGAGATGAGTGTGAGTGTGTGTGTGTGTGTGTGTGTGTGTGTGTGTGTGTGTGTGTGTGTGTGTGTGTGTGTGTGTGTGGTCAGGTTATATAAGGCAGGCACATGATATAGCTGCTGTAAGCGGATTATACTATTGTACTCAAACTAAGAAACACAAAAATAACAAAATAAATAAAAAATAAATAAAAAAAAAAGACAAATAAGATGATAAATATGAACTAAATAATCAATAAGGACATAATAGACGAAAACAATAAACCAGAATGATGAATACAAACACAGGTAAGGATGATTGAACAACATACAATATGAGGTTACCTGGAATGAGTGAGTGAGAGACCTGACTGTAATGAGGTCAGGGTACAGGTATTTGGAGTCAGTGTTTATGAAGTTGGGTGTAGAAAAACAAACCGATAAAAGTGGAATAATGAACAGAAAGAGGAATTAGAGGAGACCATGTGAATTTTGAGGGAAGAACAGATTTATTAACATATACAAACTTTGGTTGTAGAAATAAGCGTTATATATATATTTTTTCCATGTCACTAATGCGATTGTAAGCAGGAGGTAAATAAACATTGGCTGTATGTAACGTGAACACAGTGGACGGGATGATGAAGCTAAAAGACCTGAGAGAAGAGAGAGAGTGGCACTGAGAGAGAGAGAGTGGCACTGAGAGAGAGAGGGTGCCACAAAGAGAGAGAGAGAGAGAGAGAGAGAGAGAGGTAAACTAAATCAATACCTGAGACAGTGTATAATAAAGACCCCAGCAAAACACGGTGCCGAAGAAAATGAGGATCACACGAGTCACGCATTGTGTCCTGAAAGAACCACCACCAGCAGCAGCAGCAACGGCGACAGTAAATAGAGAGACGAGAGACCCAGCAATGAATCAGCTTCGTGAACAAAGTGAATAAAAAATGAAGGTTTACCAGCGGGGGACAGGAGGTGGAAGGGGAAGGGGTAAGAGAGGAAGGGTGAGGGAGAGAAGGGGAGGGAGAGAAGAAGGGAAGAGTCCTGTAATTCACTTTCTTATTTTTTTTTATGTATATCTAACGTCGATTCTTTCCCCATTAAATTTGTTGGTCTCAAGATAGTTTTAGTAATGAGATGAGGTTAAGAGATAAGACCTTTCCCTTGGCAGGTGTGTGACACATTAATGAGCAACAAGGTGCTCATGTATACATTTGTATCTCATTATCTAAACACCTGACGCCTGCAGTTGCTTCCTGGGAGAAACAATGTGTAGAGGCGATGGCATTCTTGATTATGCTATTAAGATTATAATGAAACCAAAATTAAACGTCAAGAACACACACCGTGTATATGTATTACGTCTATATATGTATACCTGTGTATATAACCTATGTATACATTTTTTACTATAGTAGCAAATGTTAGAAAGAAATTACCTTTTTTTCTGTTAAGAGGTTAGAACAGACATATATATGAGCATTACATGATAAGACTAGACGTATTATTAAAAGACTTGACGTATTATTATAAGACTTGACGCATTGCTATAAGACTTGACGCATTATTATAAGACTTGACGTATTATTATAAGACTTGACGTATTATTAAAAGACTTGACGTATTATTATAAGACTTGACGCATTGCTATAAGACTTGACGCATTATTATAAGACTTGACGTATTATTATAAGACTTGACGTATTATTATGGTACTCTGGACGTACAGATATGAGTCAGAAGGCATCTCTCCCATCCCCCACGCCAGGTACAGTGAGTTTAATCAGAATATTTCACATTATATATATATATATATATATATATATATTATGAGCTCTTGTTCCGGCTCAGGTAATTGCAAATACCACCAAGTTCTCATCATTGTGTGTTAGCGAGTGTTGCCAGGTCAGGTGGGGTTAAATTGTGTGGCCAGGTTAGGTGGAGTTAAATTGTGTTGCCAGGTTAGGTGGAGTTAAATTGTGTTGCCAGGTCAGGTGGAGTTAAATTGTGTTGCCAGGTTAGGTGGAGTTAAATTGTGTTGCCAGGTCAGGTGGAGTTAAATTGTGTGGCCAGGTCAGGTGGAGTTAAATTGTGTTGCCAGGTCAGGTGGAGTTAAATTGTGTGGCCAGGTTAGGTGGGAAGGTCTGTGTTGCTGTTAGGGGTTAAATTGTCTGGCCAGGTTAGGTGGAGTTAACTGTGTTGCCAGGTTAGGTAGGTTAAATTGTCTGGCCAGGTTAGGTGTGGGTTAAATTGTGTAAATAGTGTTAGGTGGGGTTAAATTGTGTTGCCAGGTTTAGTGGGGTTAATTGTTCATTGTGTTAGGTGGGGTTAAATTAAAATAGGTTAGGTGGGGTTAAATCTCAGAAAATAGGTTAGGTAAAGGTTAATTTAAAGGCCAGGTTAGGTAGAGTTAAATTTGTGATCATAATAATAATATGATAAATAACTATGAAACTATGTAATCATGTGTGTTATATTGATTATATTTCAATCATGAGTTATCTTTATATCACGCCTCTGTGTGTGTGTGTGTGTGTGTGTGTGTGTGTGTGTGTGTGTGTGTGTGTTCTCAGATGGTCTTGTTTACATCGCCAGTGAACAAAAAACACGACCCTGGGGTGAAAGGCACAATCTCTCAAACAATAATGGTCAGTCTCCAGGAAGGAACTTTTAAAAGACTTTATACCGGATGCTGTACTTCCCTTCAGTTACAATATGTGATACCGATGCCAACATTATTTTCTCCTGCCTCTTGAGTCAACTTCAGGTCTCGGGGCTTCGTCTAACAAGGGAGATAGTGGGATGATACCAAGGTGTAGTTATTATTACCTGTATGTCTCAGGTAAGGAGTAACTGTGTCTCGGTTGTAATCTATCAATTTATGTGGGTGAATGTAGGCCTAAGGGGTAGTTTGGATATAGTATACTGTAGACTATGCCATTTTTTTAGGTAGTAAACACGGCACTGCACTCGGTTGTCATTATCTCCTCATCTGTATAGTTAGGTACCTATTCACAGCTGGGTGGACTTGGGTACCCTAAACACGAACCAACGACCTTAAGGTGAGTAGACTAGTCTCGTATCCTTTCATCCAGATCTAAAACAATTTAATAAAGAATTATTTATCGTTTAAAAAAATAGAATAAATCAGATGTTTTGGGTTTTTTACGAGAAGTTTTGTCCACTGAAATTACGAACCTGTACCCAGCTTTGACATTTGTGAGTGATTGGCAAAGATCTTATTTAAGTAAAGGCCGATCGATTAGTAATGCAAATGTTATCACAGTTGTAGTGGAGACGAAGGTAAGTGTTCTAAAAAAACAATAAAATACGATTTAACTCTGGTAGCAAATCAATCACAGAATCACCAGTTAGTTGAGTAGAAGAAATTAATTACTTACAACAAACATCTCCTAGAACGAGTTATTTATTCCTCTCGGGGAAGAAAAAAACTTGATTCATCTAAAGTTTATTCATTAAGGTTTCATTGTTCTTTGTCTGTTGATTAAAAAAAAAAATACCTGTATTTTTTTTCGTTTTTACTAATTAATCAACGTAATTCTTTTTGTGTGTTTTTTTTCTCCTCTTAATGCCGAGTCGACGTTCTTAATTCAGACACACACACACACACACACACACACACACACACACACACACACACACACACTGCTTCACACATTCAAGTCAACTCTGCTTCACATACGACATCATGGCGATATTGACCCAAATTCTCACATAACTTTTTCCCATAAATTTCCTTTCATTCATTAACTCTACTTAAACATAAGAAAATAATAACCCGGAATTAAACATTAAACATTATAACACTATTTTTCTCTGTTCGTGTCTTAACTCAACCTAGACCCCCCCACCCCCCCCCCCTCACCCCCCCAAAAGAAATCTCCCTAATCTTGTCATTCCTTTCGTGACATAAACTACCATAACCAAACGACCTAAAATAGCCCTCAAAACACAACTCCAACCACGACATACACAGGACAAACACACCAACAGCACTACAATAACAAGAGATACTAGTCTATGTCTCAAATGTCTCAAATCACTATCTCTCTCTCTCTCTTCACATGCAATCCGGGAGATAATTTTTCTCTTCTTTAGTCACAACATTTTCTCATGACTTTCTCAACCTAGTGATTATTGTCTCTCTCTCTGTCTCTCTTATTCACTCTAATTTACTTGACCTCCCCCCCCCCACTGTAACTATTCTGTACCCATCCCTTACTTTAAACACTTCGTACCCTCCACCACTGTACCCAACTCCCTACA